TGTTGCATGGTAGGAGATGCAGGACCCCGGTTTGTTGGGGCGAGGTTGGACACCGGGTCATGGGGAGCACTGAGGTAGTGCTCAAGACTACCGGGCTGATTCAGCAGGTTCGTGATCGGCTGCGGGTCGCGCATAGCTGTCAGAAAAATTATGCTGACCGGCGGCGATCAGATCTTGAGTTCTAGGTGGGGGACTTTGTGCTACTGAAAGTGTCACCATGGAAGGGGGTCATCAGGTTTCGAAAGAGGGGAAATCTAGGACCCCGATATATAGGCCCGTTCAGGATTACGACCCGGGTGGGCAAGGTGGCATATCGCTTGGATCTGCCGGATGAGCTTAGCCAGATTCACTGACGAGGCCGCAATCGTTTCTCTGGACAATATTCAGGTAGACGAGAGCGTGAACTACATTGAGAGACCGGTTGCAATCTTAGATAGGAAGACCAAGGTTCTTCGGAACAAGGAAGTGAAGCTGGTAAAGGTGCAATGGCAGCACCGCAGGGGCTCCGAGTGGACTTGGGAGCCGGAGGACGAGATGCGAAACCACTACCCAGATTTGTTTGAGCCAGCAGACTTCGAGGATGAAGTCTAGTTCAAGTGAGGGAAACTTGTAACACCTGTTCTAGGTATTGACTATTTTTATATAATGTTTAGGGTTTTGTGCACGGACTCGGCGAGTTGGGGTGCTCCAACTCGTCGAGTAGAGACTGTTAGGGGACGCAGGGTTTGGGTCCTACTCGACGAGTAGGACCTGTAAAGAGAAACCCTAATTTTTAGGGTTTGCACCCTATTTAAGGAACATAACCCGCCTCATATGGCCTCCCTTATCACCCTTTTAGCCAGAGAGAACTCTATTTCGACCTTGCATCTTCTTGAGTGAGAGTGAGAGCTTTTGTGAGTGATTTTGGGGTATTTGTGAAGGATTCTAGAGCTTGAAGAGGAAGGAGCAAGGAGGGGAGCAGTAGATCGGACATCTACTCTGTATTGGTCATCACCATGAGGTATAAACTCATCACCTTGATCTCTAGTTGATTAGATCTTTTTTCTTGGAAGTAAATGACCATTTTTGGTGCAAAATGGAGTCAAACTCAGATTTGGACTTATCACAAGGATATGGTTCCAAATCTGGACCTCTCTAGGTCCCCAATGACATAAATTTGCTCACTTTATGTAGCCTAGCCCATTTCCATGCACAAAAAAAAACCTTGTAAGAAGCCTACTTTTGAGGTTATGGCCTTGTAGGGCCTTGCATGCACGTAAAGTTTGCAACTTTACGTGGTATCTGCACTAAGGGAGTGTGGATCTGGAGTTTGGGACCTTAGATCCCACTAAAAAGGGCTGAACTTAGAATGGACTGAAGGAACTCGTCGAGTCCCTTAGCTGACTCGACGAGTCGGGGTAAGGTTTGCCAGTTTCTTGGTTTCCGGATGAGTGCAGTGAATGATTAGGGTTTTGGTCTGATCAAACATTAGTTTTCTGGACATATGATGAACTCAACGAGTCACTAGGGTGACTCGACGAGTTGATACGGGATTTGGTGGAATGGACTCGGGAGGAACTCGATGGGTTACAAAGGTAACTCGACGAGTTAACGAGTCATACAGGAACTCGACGAGTTGAGGTCAACATGGACTGTTGACATTGACTATTAACCTTGACTTTGACCAGGGTTGACTTTGAGGATAATTATGGGATTATGACAATTTAATAACATGTTGGTTATAGGCAGTGAGGAGGAGCAGTGTGTGGGATACATCTGATCTTAGCTATTCAATTCAGCATTCGAGAGGCGAGTCTTCTCACCATACCAATGGGTGTAAGACACCATGGCCGGCCCATTTTATGATATGTGGATTGTTGATTGATTACGCGTTATGTTAGTATGACATTTGCATGGAAGACCACGCGGGGGGGGGGGGGGGGGGGGTTCCCGCGGGAGTAGTCTGAGACCACGTGACATTTGGTGTAAGACCTTGGAGGGGTTCCATGACCTCCTAGTATATTTGCATATGTAGTTTGCATTATGTGTTGTTTGGTAGTAAAGGCCATGTGGGGGTTCCCATGGGAGGAAGACCATGAGGGGGTTCCCATGACAGGCAGTTAAGACCACATGGGGGTTCCAGTGGCACTAGGTGTAAGACCCTGGAGGGTTTCCATGGCTTCCTTATATGTTGTATGCATGACTTATGTGATATATGTAGCTTTTACAGCTAACTTGATATGTGTTATGTGGATTGTGTGTGTGGTATGCTCTGGGGGACTCACTAAGCATTAGCTTACAGTTTGTGGATTTGTTTCAGGTACATCTTAGCCCAAGGGCAATGTCAATGCTTGATGGCGCGGCGTGCACTCTCTCTCGGGCATTTTATGGGACACTATGATGTTTGGAAGTAATATTGTTTTGGATATGAATTTGAAAACAATTGTATTGGGATTTCGTGTTTTATAGAAAGGTGTTTTGACTAACTAAAAACGAAAAATTTCTTTTGAAAAATTGTGTCGTTACAAATAACAGTGTGTTTGAAAATGTATTTTCTTTCCTAAAGAGTTGAACGTTTAAGTCTTAGTCTTATTGTAATATGTAGTTATCAATAGGATTTAAAGGGTTTATATTAGTTATAGTTATCTGCATTTAAAATTGTAAATAATAAAATATAAGATAACATCGTTTACAAGATATATTATAGGTTCATTTTTCTTGTGGATTAACTTAATATATAGCTTCTTATAGTTGAATAACTTTAATTTATCAGTCTAGGTTATTTTTTGTTTATTACAAAATAAATATGTAAAAGAATCTATTTTGTTTCCGAATGTTTTACGACCTTAAAATCATTTTATTCTTATTTTTTTTAACAAAAAATAAATTATTAGAAAAAATATTTAACATTTTAATTGCTTTAAACAGTGGTATAAAAGAAAAAGATTTTGAGGGCCCAGTCCAAAAGAATATTGATCCTTATTTCTAAGAATAAAGACTTGAGAATAATTTGTTGTTTTTTTGCATATAATTCTTAAAGAGAAGAGGTTTGGTGGAAAAATAAGAATAAAGGGCATTAGTGTTCTGTTTTGGTTATTGTCAACTATTCTAGGATTTCTCAAGCATGTATGATGTTAAGAAAATATGGTTGGCAGGAGGAATCAATGAGTTCGTTAAGATGTGGTGCAATATAAAACTTTGAAGGTTATTATGGTCTTTCTAGAATCTTTCAGGAAATTATATATTTTTCAAGATACCATATGAGACAATTTATATCAATTTTAATATTGATTTAATGTAAATATACATATATGATAAAGTGGTGAAAAGAAAGATTAAGGTTGATATTTCAAAATGGAGTTTGTGCTTTCTCATGTGTAATGGTGCTAAATACGGGTATATTGGTGAACCAAACTTGGAGTGGGTTGGTGAAGAAGATGAACAGACAATTGAATATCTGATTCTAAGATCAGAAGACGCATCTGTTGGTAAAGACGAATCTTCGTAAATGTCACACAAAGAGATGGGAGTTATATAGGCCAATTAAGTGAGAAAGTGGTTGTGCAATTCTTGAATAATCCGGAGTGTGGTTTCTGCGGTTACTGTCTTCCTGGGTCGAAGAAGGAGGAATGTGGGAAGGAGGAGGATCATGTAAGGCATCGTGAACTGTAAAAAAACTGTAAATAGGGATTTAGAGTAGTTCTTATTGTCGTGTTTATATTTCTACAATTAGGCAACCGACTTTTGCTGATATTGCAGTTGCTTCTTCTGAAAATTCATGTATTGGATCCTCAATAACACCAAAGAAGCGTTGGCTGTCATGATTGCGTGAGGAGTCTACTGATGATGTTATTCCTAACCGATTTTAAAGTAATTAAACAATACATTTCACTTTTTCTGTTTTTAACTTAATTTCATTTGTGTTAATCGTTTGTTATTCTTTTTATTTTATTGTCTTTTAATGTTTTTTTCATTCATATGTTATTTATTTGGTTAAATTTGTCATTATACAATGCATGGTAACAAATTACACTACTAGAAAAAAGGTTTTCCTTGACAGACATTGTCTGCCGTAAATGCCTATACATGACAGACAAATGTTTGCCATTGAAAGCCATGTAATAAAGGATAATGACAGGTATTTGGCCTGTCATAAATTTTACGACAAACCTTTATGACCTACAATTATGACATACATACACGACACATGTTTTCGACATACATTTACGATTGGCTTTGTATGTCGTAATTCGTAACATTCATGGTTATATATATATATATATATATATATATATATATATATATATATATATATATATATATCTATATATATATATATATATATATATATATTCTAAATTTGTACCAAATATTAAACAAAATAAATTACACATTTAATGTCCAATAATGCAAAATAAGATATCATACATATACAAAAATACATTCCATTACACTAACCATAATGTCAAAAGGTTCTCTTGCAATTTTGGTTTTCATTTGAAGTTTTTGTAAGGTTTTGGTTCCGTCGGAATCACTGATTCCAATTCTGTCGGAATCACTGAGTCTGGTTCCACCTTCGGATAGAATTAAACTCCATTTATTTGGCATCGGAATGGAATCACATATTCCAATTCCATCGGAATCACGGATTCCAGTTCCACCCTCATACCTTTCGTATTCTTGTTGATTATGATAAGCATGGTTTAGCAACACGTAACCACTTTCCACAAGATCCTTCCTAATATGCACCAGATTGATAGCTTTTGCTAAGTCCTCCAAAGCACAAGCTTCCGAACCCCGCAACTTCAAACAGAATTCCATCGATTCCAACACCGATGCTAAGCCGACATCCAAACCTTCCAACTCTAAAATTAACCAAGGGTATTTTGGTAAATTCATATCACTCTAAAACACACAAACACACACACACACATTTTATATGTAAAGGGTATTATCGGGATTTCGATAAAAAGCCGAAACTTCTTGATCAATCAAATCTTTTGCAGCATTTGATATGTCAATCATAACTTCTTGCAGCTAATGGTTGTTGACTTTATCCATTTTTTCCACATGTGCAGATTCTTGTCACCAAATACATATGTAATTATGGTGTTTGTATCATCCAACATATGCATATGCTTCACCAGACCCTGATAAAAGTAAAAAAAAATCATCAGAACTGCAGTAATCACTTTAAAATTGTGCATACAAAAGGTAGGAACATACAACATCTGTGGAAAACTTAAGTAGTTCTTCTCCGTTATCTAACGTGAGAACTCTGATCTTGGTATTTGATGCAACTAATATTTTATCATCTATCATTACAAGAAAACAAACGTTAGAAGAAAAAGGTTAAGACAATTTAAGGACCACGTGTTGGGAAGACTCACCAGAAAACTATATAGATGAAGAGATAAGTTTCTTTGAGATTTTCATTTCTTTTAACAGTTCACTAGTTTCAAAGTTCATTTCGCATGTTGTTCCAAATTTGGTTATTTTAACCATCAATAATCAGAAAATTTATGATCATGATCATCTTATTATTTACTTAAAAATCAACCTAGAAACCCTAATGAATGCAATATTCTTCACCTGAACAACAAAAGAGATTAAGATTAAAGAATATGGTTTGTTAATAGTAACCAAAGTTGAAGCCAATTATTTTCCAAATTCCAATAATAACCCTTGATAGCTAGGCAAATTGAATTACCTGCACAGACAATCCAACTCCTAGTCTAGTCTTGATATCGAGTATTATACTAGGGTTTCCATCCCAATTCATTTCCAACTCCACAGTTATTTCTTCACCTCTATCTTCAACAGTAGAAACTCCTAAACAATATAAACAATTGATAATTAAGATTCAAGTTATGTGGAATCTTCTTACTATGAAAGGATAAATGCAAATGGTAATACTATCAATTAGCCTAACCTGTAAACTGAGGGGCCACCGTGCCGAGGGTAAACTTGAAAAATGACAAATAGGACAACACCATTGGTTTGTATTGTTCAAGAGTTGGCTCCAAATTAGCCTTTATAAGCTCAGATGCTGCCTACAAGACAATCCAAAAACACATGATAATCATATTACCATAATGATGGTGAATAGAGGGGTTTAAAATTTAAAACTGACCTCATCAACATAGAGGGCCAGATCTTTGTAAGATGAGCATTAAGCCAGGTCAACTGAAAGATTAAGTAGAATATTCAGTCCATGAAGAAGATAAAAAGAACGTGGAGAGAAAGTACATAAGCAAGAAATACTAAAACTGTAAGAAAAAAAACCACTTTCGTTTATTTGAAGTGTAATAAATCACTTTACCCACATGTTGCTTCTAATTTCAGTTTATACTAACCCACACAAAAAAGAAATACTAAAACTGTAAGAATCGAACAAAACAACTTGCATCCATAATTTCGTTCTTCATCTTCCATAAAACCCAAACAATAAACCTAAACATCCAAAAATTCTTTCTTTCTCACCGATTTTAGCCAAGAACACAAGAACACTTTGTTCTTGTTCTAGGGTATACCTGCAAACAGAAACAACAACATCACGTTTTTGTTTCCTTCCCTGTTAAACTAAAACCAAACATCAAACGCATACACATGTATTCTTCATCTTCTTACGGTCGATTTCAAGGAACCCAAACACCCACTTAGGTTATATCCACTACTGTTAAACAATAAAGTCAATCCAAAAACCCCATCGATTTCCATCAAAATTAACAAAAAAGAAAAAGAAAAAGAAAGAACGAAGGAGCTGCAGAAGCAACCCCATACAATTACCTGTCTCTTCGTGAACCACTGCAGCTTCGTTTTTCTTCTTTATCGAGCACCACTTCCAAAACCCCCCATCAGAGCTTCTGTTTCCACTTGCCTTGCTCCATCGGGCCAAATGTCCTCCTTCCCGTCGACCAAACGCCTCTTCATCTTCGCGACCGGCCCAAGGAGCGAGACCTCCTTTGCCCTCGCTTCTCACTCCCGTTCGCCAACCCCAAAGCAGCGTCACTGCTTCTGCCCACGTCCTTCTTCGGTCTAGTCGACCACCGGAGCTCGCCACTCGAGTGCGATGGGTCTGAAATCACCAGACAAGAAAGAGAAGGCCTCGCTGCCTTCGTCCCTTCTCCCTCTTCGCGATCGGTTAGGGCTTCCGGATTACCCGCTGTGATCCTTCGCTCTCCTCTCTCCCCGGTCGAGCCAGACGCCGACGACGGCCTTTGACGACGCCCAACCTACCGATTGTTGAAGAACCATAGAACCCCTCCCATTTTTCGTGTTTCCTTCGTGTTTTCCCCCTCACTATGATCGTTCATAAGCACGTCCGTTTGTATGCCCCTTTTCTTTCCCGATCGTTGAAGTCAAGGGCAATTAAAAGCCCTAAATTTTCCTTAGTTTAGTCTTTTAAACAAGTACAGTCCCTCCATGAGATTTCCTTTTATAAAATCCCTAAAATCATTTTGCATTTATAAAATGAGCAAAATACACCCTCACTTAATCCAGTTATACAAAATGAGTATCGATCAGAGAGAAACGAGTAATGTGGCAAACAGAGGAAAAATAGGGAAGTGAGACATCTGTGCCGGTTGAACGAAAAGTGAAAATAATGTAAACAATATAAAACATGGACAAATTATAGCTACAGAATAAAATAAGGTGATCAAAATATCTACAACTAAAAAACAGGGACAAATTATGGCAAGGGAGCAAAGTAATTTGGTCAAAATATGAAACACAATAAAACAGAGACAAATTATAGCAACCGAACAAAATAAGATGATCAAAATATCAAAAACCAAAAAACATGGACAAATTATGGAAGGAGCAAAGTAATGCGTCAAAATATGAAACAAAAGAAGTAAATTGTTCTTAAGTATGTTAGGAATTAAAGTATAATATATATATATATATATATATATATATATATATATATATATATATATATATATATATATATATATATAATGTTTTTTTCCATATCCTATAACTCATAAAAAATAAGTTAATTCATACATTAAAATGCTCATTGTTTCTTTTTTATTTAAAATTTAACAAATTAATATACGACATAAATGTATAGATCATTTATATTTTATGAAATATGACGGACTTTAATGACAGACATTTTTATATCTGTCATAAAACTGTTGTACGTCGTAATTCATCTGTCAACGAAAGTATTTTTTCTAGTAGTGTTACATAATGATGATATAAATGAAAGTAAAATCAATATTTTTTTATTATGCCGGTCAACTGTCCACCGTACAGGTATAAAATTAATTATTTCTCAAATTACATCATTTTGGCAATTACTTTTTTGAAACACGCCGTTTTGGTATAAAACTCAACATCTCACATGTTTATGACTTGACTTCTTTCAATACCTAACCTAGTCTCATCTCATCTACTGCCTTGGCCTCTAGATTTTGTTGAATTCAAATCTTCGATTATGTTTGTTTAAGTGTTTAACTATTTAATCCAAGTTTTGTTGGTTACATCTAACATGAATAATAGTAAGGTTTTATTTTAACACGTGAAAAAGATGAACAAGACCATTGTGTGTAACTTGTAAAAATAGACAAAAAAAGGGGGCCAATTTTAAATTTTAGTCATAAAAAATGACTTTTCCACTTATAGACACGCATTCCGCGGAGGGCCCTCTGCGGACCTCCGCGGATCGATATTACCTCCGCAGAGAGGGGTATTTTTGTCATTTGCCCGTCTTCTTTTTGACAAAATCGGACCCTCCTCTTTGGTCCCCCCACTGGTCCTCCGATTCCTCTTTGACAAAGATGGTTCTCCGCATCGACTTACCACCGAAGATTCCGGCGACACCGAAGATTCCGGCGACCACGATAGCAAACGACGTCATTTTCTGACGTCCAAACCGGCGACCAGGACTTCGATTACGACGTCATTCCGGCAGTAATGGAGGACAATCTCCCCAATATTTTGAGCGACGGTTTAGGATCCCGGGTATTTCTCACATTCCTTTCTTTGAATTAATGTTGTATATGTATGAAATTTGTTGAAAACCGATTATATTAAACTGAATAAATAGGCAAAATTAAAAAATTTAGATAGCAAAAAATGGAGTTCGACAGGTGGGTTCCGGAATGGTGATGATCCATTCCGCGGAGGTGTATGTCTCTCCGCGGAGGGTTATATCAGTCCGCAGAGCACCCTCCGCGGAGTGAAGTATGATGTTTAAAAAAGCGGATTTGGTCTATCCGCGGAGGTGTTGGTCTATCCGCAGAGCCTTCTCCGCGGAATGACCTAAAGCCTCCGCGGAATGACCTTAAACATAATTTCCTAATTTTTTTTTCATGTCCTTTTATATTAAATTAAATTAAATTAAATCTTATGTTTTGCAGCATTTAGATCTCAATCAAAAAGCGGATTTAACTTTAAAAGGTGTGGTGGGTACTATCATTAAAGATTATTTTCCGCGGCTAACACAATCACAACGACAATTATTCGAAGCTTCGCCGTTTGGAATATTCTTAGGAATGCATATCCCACATGGTGATCCGTTACTTGTGCATTTGATGATGTTGCACGAAGTAAGGTCTCAAGAAGTATTTGAAATGGGGAGGTTTTTTTTGATATACAAGGGACGCATTTGGATTTTGGTGAAACGGAATATATTCTCATTTGTGGTTTAAAAGTTGGTCCTTATGTGGATTTACTCCACGATGAAAAAGGCCGGTCAAATTCAAGTCTTCGTGCTCGGTTGTTCCCAGACATTTCTGATGCGCGTATGCGGTTGAAAGATTTGGAAGACTTCATTATGTCTCCAAAATATTTGGCAGTTCAAGATGAAGATGTTGTGATGCTTATCCAGCTTGTTTTTGTGTTGAAGGGACTCCACGGACGGGACGTTAAAACGTGCATTCCCGCTGCAATATACAAGCTTGCTGATAATAGAGATGATTGGAACAGGTATTACATTTAAATATTGTGTAAAAATAGAATACAATAATAATAACTATAATATACAATATGAAAATTGCAGGTTTGCATGGGGTACGTATTTTTGGAGGTATACTTCGCGGATGATGCGTGGAATGTTTAAGAAAATAGTAGAATTTAGACAATTCAAGGAGGCCAATCCTGAATCCAAGAAAATACACAAGTATACCGTTCCTGGTTTTATGCTGCCGTTTAAGGTTATTTTATAATAAATTTAATTACTTATCATTGTTTTGTTTTTATACGATAATAACATTGAACTTCGGTTTGTAGTATAAAATATAATAGCATGATACTTAAATTTTCTTTCTATAGATCTGGATTTTGGAGACGTTCTCCGAGGCAACCAAATTTTATGTACGCATCCCAACAGAATTGCCGCGGATGAGGTCGTGGAGAAGTAAAACACCGTTATCTTGGGATAACTGTCGTCGAATAATCAACGTGCTTGTGGTATGCTTCTTATATTAAGGATTATTTATACTTACAAATTCCAATGTATTTTCATTTTAAACTAACAATTTGATTTTAATTTTTGTAGCCTAACAACGTACCTATTCCAGTCGTGGCAAATGGGACGGAGCTGATGTTGCCGTTTTATGTTCGCTATGTCAATTGGACTCTTAAGCATGAAGAGTCTCCTCCACCGCAACATAGTCCGGTCCGAAATAGTCCACCTGTTGTTGCCTCGCCTCCTCGAAGAACTATGTACAAGTCGGATACATGTTCGACTGAATCTGCCACAAATGCTTCTTCCTCGCAACATCCTGAAATAGAAACAACTTATACGTCAAGCGACACATCAACGAGGGTCGTAAAGAAGAAGAAGAGTAGCACAAATGCATTAGTTTTTTTCAAGTGCTTTAAGACCATTATGACATGACCACAAGGCAACCCAGTTCCTTCCCAATATTTGCATGTACAAGTCTCTTGCCTCAGATCAACTATGCCACCATGTTTGAAATCATGAACTTGATATATTGCATCTGAAACACCAGAAACGGACCATCCTGTCGTACACTTTTCATTTTTACTAACTACTTTTTCAGCCCACTCGGTTAGCACTGTTGAACGTTTCCCTGTAAAGAATATATATAATTAAAATATTATTAGAGATAATTAAAGTCTAAATTAATTTCATACCTCCATCGATGCGACGCTTGTTACACCATTCCTGAGAAAGACGACGGAAGAACTCAAGAAGGGGTATTATAGGCATCTTCCTTGCATCTACAGATAAAACGTTCATGGACTCTGCACTGTTGGAGGTCATGTAATCGTACCGTTTCGACGGGGAATATGCTCTAGTCCATTTAGCACGTGGAATTTCACTTAGATACGCCGCTACTTGCGGCCTAGTAGAACTAACTCTAGACCACAATTCTTCAAAAACATTTCTTTTGTAAGCTTTCACAAGCCTCCAAAACAACACTTTTGTTTTGTCATTTTTCCCAAACTTGTGTACTATGTTTCCTAGTAGATGAAAAGCACACACGTCATGATGAGCTTGAGGGAAGACATTTTCAATACTAACCCGAATTGCATCGGCCCGATCAGTTACAAAAGTCAATTCTTGACAATCACCAACACATTCATACAACTTTTCAAGAAACCATGTCCAAGTAAGACCACTCTCTTTTTTTGCATATTCCGTGCGCAAGGGGCACTATCTGGTTGTTCCCATCCATAGCTACTGCATGCAATATGGTTCCCTTAAAATCACCCTTCAAATGCGCACCATCCATAATTATAACTTTGCGACAAAAACGTTTGAACGCTCGTATCTGCATTATATTAAAATGGAACACATAAACACTCTATAATTTTTTACAAATAATTATATATTAAATAACAAGTTTTTGTATTTACCGTGCTCCCAATGGCATAAAAACAACACTCGAAACAATCTTCAGAATCTGTTTGTATATACGCCACTGTACCGGGATCATGCCTCTTCAAATTGTGAAAATAGATAGGAAGTTTGGAAAAACATTCTTCAGAGGATCCCAACAACAATTCCATAGCATATTGTTTTGCACGCCAAGCTTGTTTGTAATTTACATTAATTTCCAGCAAAGCATTCAAATCCCTTGATATTTCATTAGGCCTCCAAACCTTGGAACGAGTTTTTCCCATAATCTCATGCAATATAGTACCCATGACTTTTTATTAGCATGCTTATGATTAGGGTGTATCTGTAATGATGAACATGTGTGCACGTTGTTGAAACTCCTGATTTCAAATTCATCAGTGGGAACAATGCGTTTTGCATATAAACGCCAACTACAGTTCTCAATTTCACAATATACCTCATAACGATTTTTGTTAGAATGTTTGGTCTTAAACTGAAACTTTTCTCTGGTAGCTTTAAGACTCAAAGCAAATATTAGTTGTTGTTTGTTATCATACGTTTGACGAACAAACATATCATCATTTGGACCTAAACTATGAAATGGTCCGGGTTCAACAATAGGATCAGGACAATCAGGTATGGGAGGCATACCGTAAAATATGTCTGAAGCTTTTTTCCCGTGTGTGAAGTCATCTTCTGACCAGCCTTCATTTGACTCTTCACCATCTGACAAAGTTTTGTCACCCAGTCTTCCAAACTCATATAAATTTTCTTCTTCCACTGTATTCACTGCAACAGTTTCTTGTTCTGGACACTCTTCAACATTATCAGATACAATGTTTTCAACATTATCAGATACAATGTTTTCAACATTGTATGGTACAATCTTCTCAACCGCTTCTGTCGGTTCGACCTATCCCTCAAACACCTCCAAATACAAATGCACAATCTCATTCTTTTCAGAAATTACATTTCTGAGTTGATGAACATCTGCTTCGTCTACAATATTCATAACATACCCATGAACCGGGTGTTGAAATGACAATGATATATTACTATGGAACAAATTAGCATTACTTTTGACCAAATCAAAGAATATTCGATGATTAAAGTTTTGCGGAAGCAGTATACCTAAGTTGTTAAACTTAGGTCTAACGTAGGTGTTAACCCCATTACTTATCTGCCAAAAACCCCCGGTACATAGAATAATAAAACTCATCTTTCTTTTGGAAAATAAATTAGTAACACTAGACAAATTTGATCGCAAATGGAGATAAGAAAATGAAAAAACAAGATTTGTATCAAAAAATCCGTCAAAAAACGTTCCAACCATTCATTCTGCGGAGTCATTAATCTCTCTGCGGAGCTCCTCGCCACTGGCTCTGCGAAGGGATTAAAACCCCAGCCAACCATCCCCTCCGCGGAGGGGTTAATGTCTCCGCAGAGGACCCCGCGGAGCAATTTTGTAAGCAATAAAAAATTGTCATTTTATTAGATTCCGCGGTGGAAACAACGCTCCGCGGAGGTCCGCAGAGAGTTCTCCGCGGAATGCGTGTCTATAGCCGGAAAAGTCATTTTTTATCACTAAATTTTGAAATTGACCCTTTTTTTTTTTTTTTTTTTTTTTTTTTTTTTTTTTTTTTTTTTTTTTTTTTTTTTTTTCTATTAGCGGTATTTTCCCAAATTTGCAATACCCACTTTGGCTACCCTTTTGAGGTTTTGTTTCCTAGTAAACGTCGGCGCCGTCGCTCCATATAGGATTGTAAAAGCAAAATCGGATTGCTGTAATGAGAACTGGGAAACAGCCATCGGGCCCCATTTCTTTTTCAACATAGAAAATTCTTCAATCACGTAAGTTCATTTCTTTTTCCTCTCCTGTCCCTTGGTCGTCAATATTGAAGAAACTACTTTACTCCATTATCGAGACAAGTATTTAAGAGTATTTTACATCGTTTCATGATTTTCATCCTCGATTAGTGTTCACATAAGATATCTAAATATCAAGAGATATTTTAATGAATCTGTTCTAACCAGTTGCTACTGATTCTTTAATCGTATTTCGTGATATCCTTGTATATATACCAGCTATTTTTCTGTTTCAGCAACATGAATACCGAATCATCCTCGAGTACAAAATGGGTCTCTGATCAAAGTCCAGTTCATTCTGATGTGGAGGACAAGCTGAGGCGCCTGTTGGTCGAATTAGGGAATGCTGGTAGAATACTTGGAATCCAGGTTTGTGCGAAAAGACGTTCATGCCCTCATTGTTCTCTTTATTGAAAATAACCTTAGAAAGTTTGTATTGCCCATGTATGGTCACCCCCTGTAACAAACACCCCTTGATAGTTTATACTAGGGACATAAACTTTCAACTTGATGCTAATAAAACATATAGAAGCTTGAGTTAGTCTTTTTTTCTTTTATCTGTCAATTGTAACAGTAATTTACATGAATTTTGTTTGTTAGGTTTGTGCATACAAAGAAGGGAAAGTGATCATTGATACTGCAGCTGGAGTCATGGGAAATGATGACCCTCGTCCAGTTCAGCCCGATACCTTATTTTCTGTTTTCTCTGCTACTAAGGGTGTCACAGCAGGAATGATGCATTGGCTAGCCGATAAAGGGTATATTTGTAATTTGTATATATTTAGCACCCATGAAGAGATCTGTATGGGATCCTGTCATGCAAGTAAATATTAACCAAAGTGCATATTCATCATAGGAAAATGAAGCTTGACGAAAATGTTGCAAAACTTTGGCCGGAGTTTGGTACAAATGGAAAAGATCATATAAAGGTTGTCCCTATCTCCCAATGTTTAATTTTCTCTAACTTTTAAACATCGTCTTTATACTCTGATTTCACTCGAACAATCATTAGTGCAACGTCTCCAATGGTATCTTTGTAGAAACAAGCAAAGGTTAATGGGTTATCAGTATGAGAGTTTCCATTCCAATTTGGATTGGGCTCCTTGTGTACCCTAAACCATGAAGATTATATCATTGGTTATGGTTTAAGGCATTGTGTATGTGATTTACATCTATAATGATAGTAGCGGGACCGGATGGCCCGGAGTGTGCCAGGTTAGGAGTAAGAATAACTTTTTATTTTATTTTATTTATTTATTTATTTATTTTTTTGTATAAGCGTTTGTGAAACAAATTAGGTAAGATCCAGGGATGGTTTCTTTATTTGTTTCCTTTTGGATTATATTTAATTTGTAACGTTGCAATTTTATTTACATAAGTGTGACATCAGATTTCCTTTTTTTTCCCTCAGGTTCATCATATACTAAATCATACATCTGGTCTTCACAATGCTCTTTCAGACATTTATCAAGAAGATCCTATGTTACTTTGCGATTGGGATGCGTGTATAAAACGAATTGCAAAGGTTGCTCCAGAAACCGAACCTGGTCGTGAACAGATATATCATTTTCTATCATATGGTTGGCTATGTGGTGGAATCATTGAGGTATCATTATATGCATCCTCTATTTTCTCTCTCCTAATATCCTCTATTTCGATAATTGAGACCATGTCCCTGTCATGATACCACCTTTCTGGTGTGACTAATAATTTATAGATTTTGTCCGATTGACATCTGTCTAAGCTTGACTTGAACACTAAGGAAATGGTGGCATATCTTCAATTATTTTTTATTTTATTTATTTATTTTTTTTGATGTTTATGCTCTTAACGTTGCAGCATGCATCCGGGAAGAAATTCCAGGATATTCTTGAGGAAGCTTTTGTACGTCCACTTAACGTGGAAGGCGAGTTTTATATAGGGATTCCTCCTGGTATGATTCATGAAATTTTTTGACAACTCATTCGACAAGGACTTGTATTATACACATATGTGCAAAAATGAAGGAAAAAAAAAGTAATTTCAGCATTTTTTCAAATAAGGCACTTAATTGTTTTAATTTCAGCATTTGACAACTCATTCATTGTACTTTTCCTTATCACGTAGAAAACACACTTTCCCCGCTCTCCATTTTATTAATTATTTTTTTATGATTATTTATAGAAATAATTGAGTGGCCAAATAAAAAAAAAGAAGTCAAAGTCCATTGGTTAAATTGATAAAATTTTAAAACTAAGTTGTTTGTTTTTTTTTATTTTTTATTATTCTATTATTTTTTAATTTTCCTTTCACCTCTAAACCACGGGGAAAAGTGGTTTTTTAGACAGGTAAAGAAATTATAATGATATGATTACTATAAAAAAAAGTTAACTTGATTAAACCGATAAAATTTTAAAAATACAAATGTTTTTCTTTATTTTTTATGTGTGATAGTTCGTAACAAAATTTGGTTTTTATTTAAAATCCAGGTGTAGAATCACGTATGGCAACTCTTACGTTAGATATAACTGAATTTACTAGGAACGCTGTTGCAACCGCTACCACCATCAAACAACCTTACGGCGCCATGCCTTCATCCCTCTCGCCGGAAATCCTTGCAAGCTTCATTCCTTTGTCCAACACTCTTAATGTCCGCCGTGCCATACTACCAGCCGCCAACGGCCACTTCTCTGCCCGTGCTTTGGCCCGCTACTATGCCACCCTCGTGGACGGCGGCACAGTCCCTCCACCCCACTCCTCCTCCCTCCCACTACTTGGAAGCCACCCCCACCACCCCACATTCCCCTCCAATAACCCGAAAGATTCCAACTCCAATACCTACAACCAACATTCCAACCCTAAAATTTTTGACAATCCAAAATCTAAAATTCATGACGCATTCTTGGGATGTGGAGATTATGAGGATTTAATCTGTTCGAATGGGAAATTTGGGCTCGGGTTTAAGAGGGTCACTAGAACCGAGGGCTCGGTATTTGGGTTCGGTCACGCGGGCTTCGGTGGGTCAACTGGATATTGCGATATAAACAACCGGTTTGCTATTAGTGTGACATTAAACCAGTTGTCTGGTGGGGTTTTGACCGGGGAGATAATCCGTTTTGTTTGCTCGGAACTTGATCTTCCGGTACCTGAATATTATACGGTATCTCAGGAGTTCATTGACAAACTTGTGATCAATTAAAGAGTGTTTGATCAAAATGTGCTCATATACATATTTGTATTAATTTTGAGGTAACCTTTATCATACATGTATGTTTACACAAACTTGGTTGAATTTGTTTGTAATTAAGGGAGTATACATTTGTTGTAAGTGTGGAAAAAATAATTATCAAACCAATAGTTATCAGTTTCTTTGGTAAGTTTTGGGATGAGCCTGTGTTTATAATTATAAAACTTTTGAAATTAGAAATTAGAAATGTGTGGAAAATAATAAATTTGAAAAATGGATTTTCTATTTTTTTGGAAAACCTCTAGAGAAATTTCAAATCAAACGTGTTTTCTAATTTTTTTTGCCTTTCTTAATAAACTTCTTTTTGCAAAACTATAGAATTTTCCATAACCAAACACACCCTTAGTTATCTTAAAAGATTCTTTTTATTCGTAAAAAGTTTTGATAATTCTGAGACCTTAGGTTTATCAAACGATAAAAAATGATGCGTATTTACATGCGTAATTTATTGGACAAATTAAATGAAATTGATATTTAATTTGTCGGGTATGTGTTAATTTTAATTTGTGTCCACACTACCTACATATACAGAAACCGGTTGTGGTTTTAAACTCATCAATCTAGATTGATCTAAAAAGCACAAAACAAAGTTATTCTATAACGTCCCAAAATCCATGCTAATTATTTTTTATTTCTAAAATAAAATAACATCCATTTTTAATACAGTGACATTCAGGATAAATTATTTGTTCATAAACCTTTATTCAGAAATCAAAGTTATAATGAAGACAGTGCAAAATCTCAAATCATAAGTTGCTGATGTGTGTGTATAGTCCCGCCTTTGCAATCAGATAAGTATCTGCAAATTATTTATTCTACAACTATAAGCACAAAGCTTAGCGAGTCCCGAAATTACCACATACAACACATCATAAGAATCAACTAAAGGTTATCAGTAAACTCTGGAGACTAACAGCGGTCCCAATGGGCTAACAGCACGCCCGGTGGATTAACAACACACATCACAGGCTATCAACAACCTTGGGGACTATCAGCAGTCCTATGGACTTACAACAGTCCAGGAGTTATCAGCAACTCATTTCACATATAATAGAAATCAAAAAATAAGACCCAACATATCGACATGCATATACTACCACACAAGCAAGTATAGTGAGAGGACTCACCTCGCGAATAGAAGCTACAAATACAACAACTCTCACGCACAGGGTAGACAGGAGCAACAAGGTACCTAACATCAGTAAAGTCATATCCTATCAGTCTACATTCTTAAAACCCTAGTTTGACCCAAAAAGTCAACCACTGTAAAAAGTCAACCATCGTCAAAAAGTCAACCTCAACCAACAGTCACGTCGTGACCACCCATAGGCCAAGTCGTGACTTAACTAGGACAAAATAATCGCGATTACTCTATTCTCACAACGTGACATGCTATTCATCACGTCGTGAGATCCGTTCTGAATAGCTTTGAGCATTAAGCTCTTAACCCCTTAAGCCATTCCTTCAGAATTTCTAGAGGGTCTTCCCAAACCCGAAGGACCATAAAAATCATAGATTTTCATTCATGCATGTCCAATGCATGAATTGAACACTAACTAGGTCAATAAGAGGAAAAATAAGATCAAGACACATGCTTGGAATCTAAAACCAACACCAAATCTCAGATTTGAAACTTATACTAAAGAAAATGCCTCAATGATCCATAAAGTTGACAACTTTATGGATCCCATGCATGCTACCCAACCCAACCATGAAAAGAGAAGCATAAATCTTAGATCTAGCATGCAATAGAGATAAAGGCAAGAGCTTTAGGACTTACAAACGTCCAAAAGCACAGAAAAATGATGAGGAAGGAACTTGCTTACCAAAAGTGATGCACCCATGGAGTCTTCCTCTTCTTCTTCTAAGAACCAAAACCACTAAACAGCTCTTCAAGGTCACCAATAGAGGCTAAAATCGATTCTGGCAGGAAAGAGTTGATGGAGGCTGAGGGTTTGAAAACCGTAGCCTCATACTTCCCTTAAATAGGGCGCCAAACACGAGATTAGGGTTAGCCCGCTCTCACGACGTGAACACCCATGTGTCACGTTGTAAGCCTCGAGAATGGATATGCGATTCAACCGAATGTCACGTCATGAGACACTCCCTCTCACGTCGTGACTAGCTATAAATTGAGGTTTATCATTCTTAATTAATTTCAAATTTTTAAGGGATCAAGTACCTGCATTAGATGTTACAAATCTACCCCACTTAAATTATATTTTGTCCTCGAAATCTATCCTTACAAATCATTCTGCAACAGCCCCTCCTCTGAATCCCTTGAAGGGATCTTCCAAGACCAATCACCTCTTGTTCAAGGCATCGCCACACCAGACGCCCAAAACTGCGATTAAAACGCAAAGATTTCAAAAACCGGAGCATACGCCAAATCTGATTGGAGACTCCCCTAAGGTCAAAATCACACCCACTGACAGAGAATGAAGATCAACACATCACAACCAACCGATTTAAGAAGAGTTAGCTCCCATGCTAATAACTTAACTTCCACAAACATGTATGTCTCCCCAGCAGACAAGGCGTCCCTCAACCCCAACCATGCCGACCAAACCCAAAGGTCTAATCCCCAAACAAAACCATTCCCAACCTTGTACCGCCCCACTGGCAGCAGTAAATAGGAATCCACAACTAACTTCGGAAATCGCTAACCTCGCTTACTTCCATCAAAGCAATAAAGAACAAGCAAGAGCTAAATTAGTCGACACATCTCCAAAGTTCAAGAACCCTGCATCAAGCCATAAATATAAACAAGAGGAACAACAATGGTTCCGATCCTTCTACCAAAAATCAGATGTGTTGATTTAGGGTCCTTAACTATAAACTCGGCCTATTGACAAGTCATAACTAATCATCTGCTCCCACAAGTGCAACCATGACCACTATAAAACTTATGTGACACTTAGTCTCACAGAACAACACAAGTGCACAATCATCTGCCAAAACTCCCAAGGGTCTTTTAACCACTCACACCACTGACCTCCTAGTATTCCCCACCAACATACCATTACCCCTATGTCAATCTAAACAACTATGAGTTATCAACAACCCTAGGACTATCAGCAGTCCTGAGGACTATCAGCAGTCCTGGGGTTATCAACAACTCAGAAAATACTTATAACAACCATCAGCTACTAAGACTCGGCTAGTATAGTATGCACACATCTATTGTTGGATTAGTGTCTAAGCCCATAACTATAATTGGTATGTACTTAACCCGACTTGGCATGGTCCATTTGGGTTGCACTTCAGCGGAAAAATTTATATGGATAGTCTTTTGAGAATAGTATGTTTATGATTTATATTAATATATTATAAGTTCTAATATATTAATATGGAATCATATTATTCAATTAGTATTGATCAGGAATTAATTTAGAATTAATTTAGTGATCAAAAGGAACTAATTAAATATGGACTCTTGTATATATATGGAATGGGCCAAGTTCATTTAGGTTGGGCTAAGCTTTCATGGATAGTCCATGGAGTGTTTAACCCATGGATCCTATGGAAATGAAAGGTCATGGGTATTAGGGTTTACATGAATGTAACCCTAATCCTCCATACTATATAAAGAGGTCCTTGGCACTTGAAATTGGCACTAGTGTGTGAGAACAAAGGGGTGGGCCGATTTCTAGAAGTGCTTACTATTCTCTCAAGTTTTCAAGGTGTTTTTTTGGTGATTAGTGATTCCACTTGAAGCTTCCACACTATTGGGGCTAAGCTCTTAAAGTTCAAGACTTCAAGCTCCAGCAAAAGGTATGTCATCTAACTATGTTTTTATAGTATAGTTGCTTCATATTATGCTAGTTAGGATAAAACATTGGAATATTGAATATTTGCATGTATAATAGAGAAAACATAGATCCAAAGTTTTTGAAGGTTGCATGTACACCATAGGAGTGTTAGAATGCTCAAAACCCATCAGTGGTATTAGAGCCTAGGCTTGGTTTCTTTTATACTTGATGCAATTTGCTGAAATAGCTTAAAAAATCGAAAATTCTGGCTTCTTGGGCACTGGACTCGCCGAGTCCACTGATGGACTCGCCGAGTCCATGAAGAAATTCATCCTACTCGTCGAGTAGGTTCATACACTCGACGAGTAGGAGCCCCTGACAACATATTTTCGAGTTTTAAGGCTGGAATTGGTCTAGAATCATTACCTTAAACTGTTTTGGACTTATAAAACCTGTTTTTAATGTGGTAATGATTATGGTAAACCAATTTCAAGGCTGTTATCAAAATTTCAAGCTTTATGTGTGTTTATGTAATTCTTGAAATTATTGATATGATTGTTCATACACTTATAAGTTTTGGTAGATCATAGGAATTATTTGCAAAACTGTTTGTTAGTTAATTCTTGATCTAAATGTATTTTAATGGAGTCCATAATTTGTCCTGAAGTTATGGATTACCAAAAGTCATTTCTTTTAAAGATCCATTAAAATTCATAGGTTACATAATTGAAGAGTCTTTTTTTTTTAAGAACTCCATAACGTGAGGACAAGTTATGGATGTTCAAGAGTCTCTTCATTAAAGTGTTTAAAACCTTAATTAAACTCATAAGTTATGAAAATCCAAAAGTTTTTGAATAGTTCAAAACTTGCCATCAAGTTTTGGAATTTGTAAAGTCTCACACACACTTTAATTCCAAACCCTAGAGTTTTTAAAAGTTAAAATTCAACCCTTATACTTTATAGTATTATAAGTTAATAATATATATATGTATAAGAGCAAGTCAGTCTTACCGTTAGTAGGCCTCATTCACGAAGCCGGTCAATAAGGGGGGTATAAGGGTACTGCTTATAAAATGACAGTTTAATGGGTGTCCACTCTCACCCACCGCTTCCTTGACTGGTGGAGGGTCGTTAGCCGAACGGCTAGGATAAGGACTATAATTTTCATTATAAGTATAATGATAAATATGAAGTAACTAAACCTTTTGTAAATTCCCAATCTTAGTTACTTTAGGAAAATATGAATTTGGTGCTAACCCATGAAATTACACTTTGCACATTGCTTAAGTCGTTAGTGGAGCGCGTGTGGTTAATCGGCACACTAACCTGGATTTA